AGGGGTGGGGGGGTCGGGGGAGGGAGGGAAAGAGGGGGGTAGGGGGGGGGATAGCTAACCTATGCGCTCACGGGAGCGCGTGCAGCCCGGTGCCAATACACCAGCTTCACAACCAAGCAAGTCGCGGGCTTCGCCGCACGCGGCTGTTTCGGTATCAGACCGTGTCCGCGTGGGATTTTTGAGCAGGAGCGGGAACCATATGTCAGGCACCTGGGTCGGTTTCATTCAGCTGCAGCGGTGCAGTCCCTGAGCCTGCGCGAGCGCGAGGGGCACGGAGGGGCGGGAAGGGAGGGGGGGGGGGGGGGGAGGGGGGTGAAAGACCCCCCCCCCGGAAAACAAAAAAAAAAAGACAGAAAATTACCAGCTGCTTGTCTTCTTCTCCCCCCTGACGGAAAGCGGCACGCGGCGCCTGGTCCTTTATCCTCCGTGTAGGAACGTATTTGTTTTCTTCAGCCTGCTTTTCGGGGTTTCCCCCACTCTCGCGTTCTCCCCGTTTTCTCCCCCTAGTCAACGGCGCGCGCTATATTCCTCGGTTGGCATGGTTATTAGCCTTCTGTCTGCGGCTCCGTCCTCGCGCTGCGCATCGCCGGCCCCTGATTGGACGCACTAGTCATTCTCCCGCTCTGACGTCAGAAGTCTCCGCTCCTACAGTCACCGTCATCCCTGTCGGTGTGTGAATCACGGTGAGAGGGAACGAGCGACCGGGACATTCATCCCAACTGGAGAAAGTTCGCGTATAGTCTGCTTAATGCGGTTTTAAGTTAGGCTGAAAACTTCTTTAGCTCATTATTGTTCCCGTTAACAAAAGCTATGACTCTCATTACACGCAGCCACACTGTCAACGGTGAATAACCCCATTACAAGCACGGCAGCGCGTGACACATTCTCTGTCCCATCCCACGTTCTGCTCAAGGTGAAACTGGTCTCCCACTTTCCATTCCACCAATCAAGGTGCCAAGAAACATCCTGCAGCATGCGGGAGCGCTCTCCAAAACATTTCGAGAAGAGTGGGGAAAAAAATGGAAGATGGCGCGTCCGGCATAAACAGTCACATTGATGTTACTTGTGACAACACTTGGTTGCCTATATTATTTGACTTTAATGGAATCTAACTAGGTGGTGGTCAGCACCATGGCCTCACAGCCAGAGGGTTCTAGGTTCTGGGTTCCCGGGGGAACCAGGACCTTTCTGGGTGGAGTCTGCATGTTTGTCCCTGTGTCTGCGTGGGTTCTCTCTGGGTTCTCCGGCTTCCTCCCACAGTCCAAAAACCTGCATGTTAGGTTGATTGGACATTCCAAATTGGCCTTAAGAGTGAGTGTGAGTGTGAGTGTGTGTGGTTGTTTGTCCTTGTGTGTCTCTGAGTGGCCCTGTGATGGACTGGCGTAGTCCAGGGTGTACCCCGCCTCTCGCCCATTGACCACTGGGATAGGCTCCAGTCCCCCTGTAAATAAGAGATTACAATAATGGATGGATGGATGGAATCTAAACTAAACTAAAATATTTAAATAATGCATTGCAACCTGTCTGATCTAGATCTTCATAGACTCCCACATCCCGAAAATAGGTAAGTTAAGCAGGCATGGATGTTGAAGCAGACGTGGATGAATTTTAAAAGAAGATAAAGGATCAAGGTCAGGCCTCTGAATAATTACTTAAACGTTAGTTCGTACTACGAACTCATTTGTGTTGTGTTCATACTGCAGATAAACCAATGAATGTTTGTATGAAATAAGCAAAGTGTAATTTACCATCAGTTAAACTATGTGTGCATGAAGACCGAAGACACGCCTCAATACAATTCTATGAGGATAGAGAAGACATCAGGTCCTTAGCCTTTGATGGACTTGGGGCCCAATTTTTTGTGTAAACCAATCTGAGTACAACTCAGATATTATGAAATCGCTGACTCGGCAGATACTAGATACTGACTTGTCCAGTGTCCTGCATTAGTCAGTATCCTATTACCGGTTCTAAGCTCAGATGGATGGTCAGTCGGTAAAAAATGATGTAACGCCTTGCATGTCAATTCAAATTTATCGGTCCTTCAACCCACGCAATTCAACCGTAATGTCACACATGAAAGTCAACTCTAAGCTCGTCTTCTATCGGTCTGCTTTCACTGTTAAACCCACAAGCCAACGAATCAAACCAAAGCAGGGCTTTTGGTCTCCTTTTATGCGAGGACCTGGACTCCTGACTGCCTTTGGAGTGTCATTCCCTGCTTTTTTATTGTGGACGGGCAACTGCACGCACTTAGAATACATATCAGATGCGCGCGTACACGTGCATTTCCATCAACTCCCCCTCCACCCTCGACTTCATTCATCTTTCAAGCAAAGCATCATGGGTAACTGTGAGGCGTTACATCATCTCACTACGTTGGCATGCTTCTCTACTGTCTTCATCTGACTGTTTCCGAGACACTCCTCTTTCAAACATTACATCACTGATGCATTCTAATGATGCCTTTCTTTCCTTTCTCCAGTCACGAAAACGCCACACCAGGACAGATGATTCACTTAGAAAGTGAGTTGCATAAGTCCCTCATATTTAGGGCAGTGGTGCATTGTTCAGAGAGGGTCTCATTCGCAGTGTGTTTGTGCCGTTTCGGCTGCTGCAAGGAAATACTGCCGATACAGTAAAAAGCAAAAAGGATGTGCAAACAGAATGCGAATAGACAGTGTACACAGACACCATAAAAACAACACGATGTGCGCCCTGAGATAAATCGCCATGAATACAATAGTATTAGTCATCTCTGTAGTGATGACTAATACTACTCCCACCCCTTCAACCCACTTTTCCTCCCTCACATGGGCTCACGTATCCCTCTCATACTTACACCCTCCCCCGTGGAATAGCCACTAGGTTATGACGGGACTAAGGTAATCAGTGATGGATTGTAAATAGAAATGTTTTTTCGAAGTTCAACATTACTTAAACCATAAATACTTGAACAGCTACTTTATGCGTATATTGTTCAATAGGTGTAGATTTTTTAAAGATATAGCTACTATATAAAAAAGTATGCTATCTGCTAAACTATAATGCCATCAGACCAATCCTCACATACCTGTAACCGATTGGTATCTTCAAATTATAAATTGTCTTGAAGTATACCACAACTGGAGGATTGGAGCTATCTTCCGTTTTTATTTATGGATTGTGCTGTCTTTCTTTATTGAGCTGCTTGACTGGGTTGAGAAGAATGGATCAATTCAGCCTTTGGAGGGTAATTTCCTTTTGTCGGTGCAATCATATACCTTTAGAGTTTCTTCTGCTAAAAACACTAGCGGTCAAGGGGTGGAAATCATCATCATCCTTACCTGTACAGTGCTCTAATTGACTGCTTTAAACCTTTAACAGCTGACCTGAAGCATAGCATGTAAAGAATCAGTCCTAGTCGGTTTGATGCCTAGGGACACACACCATATTTTCTCCTGAAGATATAATTTGTGGACTCCATCTCAGACTGGGAAAAAGCGAGGGGTTCCTCTGCTGCAGAGGATTATGCTCAGAATTTTTTGAAGCCATGTCACATTTTGATGCTGATCTCCCACTAAGGGGGTTCCTGCATCATTTAGAAGCCCTGATGTTCTTTTTCCTTGTTTGCTCCTGTTTTGCCACTAACGTCTCCGAGAGCAGAGACTGGATCACACCCCGAAACGCTGTAGTTTCTTTACCAGGCAGAGAAAAGCATTCATTATTCAGAACGCCGCTGTAGGACTGGGAGGAGAACGCCGACTTTACGGACCCACCAGATCCCCGCAGCACAGCCAGGATGTGTGATTTGGTAGTTAGCGATAGCTCTGGGGAGTCGTAGCTCAGCTTTGATTAAAGGTCTCCATGAAAGGTCAATTGGGAGAGGAGGCTGAGAGAGCGCAAGAAAGCAAACTGATGGACTACAAAGAGCCTTTGGTTGATGTAAATGTCTCTGTTCACCATCAAAGCTGAGGCTGAAATCTAACTGCTGTGATCGTAATGAGGTCAATTGGTTTTGCCCCCCCCAAAAAAACAAAACAGGAACGATTGCAGCATTGCAACATAGGAATTTCTTATTTTTTATTTGGTCATGTTGGTTTGTATCATCTATATTTTTTCTTGTCTGGTTGTTTGGTTGGTTGCTGTAGTCTTTATAATGTGTACTGCTACCTTACAGTAGAAACCTCCTGGGGTAAATGAGGTGTATGATACTCTGAAAACCCATGTCAGAAGTCCCTGTTTTTCTCAAACCCTGAGAGGGATTCTCAAAAAGGTCGATTCTTCCAGATCCTGCACCTCTATTGGCATCTATGAGCATTATATATATATATATATAAGCCTTGAAAACACATTTTTTTAAAATGTGTGCTTTTAAAACGAGCCATGTGAATGGGATAAGGTCAGAATATCTTGCTATAGCCGCAGATGTCTGGATAAATAAAGGTGGAGGAGATGAAACTCTATGTGATGAACAGCTCAGCAATGAAACAAGCCTTTTTTTTCTTCTTCTTTTTTAACAACACAGAGGTACCTCATAGTCAGCCAACGATTCAAACTGAGGACCATGTCTTCATAAGCTACATAACGTAAAGGTGGATTGAATAAAAGAAAACGAGAGACGTTTGCATGTATTAGCTTTTGGCCCTAGAATTGCCACAGTTGTCCGCTTTCCTTTGGACTTTATCATTGGTTTCTGTTTCACCTCCATTCAGGCCTTTATCCCCAGCCAGAGGAAAGGAAATTGTCTTTCTATGGTCACCCATACCTTGAAATGATGCTTGTTTGCAGTGGTGGTTAAACACTTCCCCTTAACAATGCCTTATTTGTATTATTCTGCCCTTATTCTGCCTTGATTTCACATGCCACATAAAAGAAGTATTGTCCAGTGGCATTATTGATTCTACTTACACCTACTGAATGATTACTCTACTTATGTTATTATAAAAAAAATAAAGTAAAAAAAAACATGTATGTGTTTCCATAGACACTGCGCTGAATGAGAAAATGGTGGGTGGTTTCTGAGAAAATCCGATTTCTCGATTCTGTCCTTTTTCTACATTATGGGACTCTGAACTTGTTAAACCCGAACGTTTGCTCATGAAAACCTAAGCGCAGCCATTTGGAAAGGTCACGTAGTGGTGGCGGAAAAAGAAAAAATAATTCTCCTGTTTACAGCTGTGAAATTGTCAGCAAAAGCACTTTTTCATGTTCCATTAACTGCCAGCCTTCGAAAAATAGTCATCAGTGGGTCCCGGCCCAGAAAGTCTGGCCCCTTCTCTGCTGAAACGGCTGCCGAGGTGAAGTAATGAATCGTTTTAATCGTTTAGCAGCTGGGTTCCTGCTATCAGCAAATGAGCCTCTTGTCTCGCTTTCCTCTCATCTGTTGTTCTTAAAAGCCTGAATGTGGTCTATAAGACAAGCAAAATAAGTTAGAAATGATAATAAGATTCATGACAGTGTCATGTATTATATGTGGAAAAGTGAAACAGTGGATCAAGAACATTTGCTTTGTATTTGATATGTTTTTCTAATATTACTTAGGTGAAATTACTACTGAGACAGCATCTCCACCATAGCTGTAGACTATGAAAGAGATCCTTATCACTACAGAAAGAGAAGCAAAAAACACCTTTGAATTGTGTGTATTGCTCAATTCTGAGCTACTATTACAAAACCCATTGTTTAACATTTCAAAACCTGATTTTTTTTATTCCAGACGCTATTGAAAATAACTGGCCTGGATTAAGAAATCTTTTTTTTTTCAAAGTTACGAGATTTCTTTTCAAATGTATTTTCTCTCAAGTGAAGGGAAAAGACTTACATCATTTATAAAGAGGATCTGGTTGTACTTTTATTATTTTTTTTAAAGCTTTTGTGAAGGAGTCAGACCTTCTTGTTTTTGACGACACCTGTAGTTTGAGCTTATTTGTCCCTGGTGCTTTTGGGTTTGTTTTCATCCTAAAAACCGTATTCCGTCCTCCCCCTGAACTCAAACCCATGCGTTCCAGTGTCCAGCAGAAGTCCTCTGGCCGGATCCCCGGGAGCCTGCAGCCGGACTTCCTTTTGACCGTGCTGCTTGGGCATAGCTGACCGCTCCCTCCTTTCCTCATCGCCACTATTCCCTCTTATCATCTCTGGACGTTTATCTCGGTAAGCCACTGAGTTGCTACCTTCGTAAGACAGCGGCTAGCATTTCATTTCATCGGCCATCCAGCAGGGCCTGAGTCCAAGCCGGTTCATGTATCATATCTGAAATAGATTTGTCTTAAATGTGCTGATAGTCGTACGTTTTTAAGCATCTGGAGATAAAAACAGTCACTGTACATTTGATCTTTGTTCATAATCCAATATACACATGCCAGCACTGCAATGTAGACCTTGTGAATTGTGCGTTTGATGTGTTTCCCAAGATGCAGCAGCAAGTGGCCGAACGAGGCAGCCGAGGCCCGTCAGAAAAGAGCAGATGTTCCTCGCTTTGAGGCGCTGGAGAAATCGCCCGTGGAGGATGTGGATTGACGGCTCTCAGAGTAAGGAGGAGAGCAGGGGGCTCGTTTTCTCAGTGCGCCCAATCACCTCGGCGCGAGGTCACAAACAACCACCAGGAGATATGAAATCTATTTATTACCTTCCAGCTGTGCTCTACCTCTGCCGCGTTATTAGATCGGCCGTCCTAAATAGTGGTGGCAGGCGTGCGGGGAAGATATCATCCGATGTGAGCACGTTACCAGGAGGTGGGGCGGGGGGATGGGGGGGGGGATCAATCTGATTATGACTTTGTGATCATTGAGTGTGGAGGCAGTGCAGCTTTCTGCTGACCAGTCAGCCCCGGAGCAGCGCTTCTCAGAGAAAAGCCTTTTAGCCACTTCACGGATGCGCTGACTCCCAGCAAAACTCATCCCAGTGAGTAGATCCATGTCTTCGAGGTTTAAATATCTGAACCTATTCCTTCTAAGTCTAACTCACCGAACCACACACTGCTTTGTGTTTCTGATCTATGGCTCTTTTGTTTTTTCCGGCTTCCAGAATTAAAGTGAGGAATGTTTTTTGTTTTTTATACTTTCATTTGTACTGGTTTTAAGAAACACCATCATTAGAACATTTTGATATCCCCAAAGTTGTTGATGTCCTCTCCCAAAGTGATGCTGGTAATTGGTGTAACTGTGTTTTTTTTATATTATCTAAAGTATAATTTCATAATTTATCATTTTTTAATTCAAGTACTACTATTATTCTGTTTGCTTGGGCATTTTGAAATAAAAAAATGATGATCCCGAAATGCTCCTATGGCTGAAACCAGATATTGGGTTTGTCCAGTTGTGGACCCCTTTTTGTCGGCTTACGTCCAAAACCAAATTTTAAATTCTTCTCTTTGCATGTAAACCTCTTAATGATCGACTTGTGTCATAATCCTTTAGAGCTCATAGTGTTTTCCACTAGAAAAGACAGCACATCACTCTCAGAATGCAGGTCCCAGAACTCCTAAAAGTAGAAAAACTGCTATGTAATTCCTATTTTTATTATGTTACATGACAATTATTATCTAAGAAATGACACCGACATTCAGATGCAAACAACTTGACCAAATATAATGCATAACTTCAATACTTTACTTAAATGACTGTCCATTTCCCAGAAGAAAATTAAACCACTGAAGATCCTTGAAGGTGGACACCATAGATACAAGCACAAAAAGCATGTTTTTTTTAGTCCATGCTTTGCCTAAATTTGTTGTTAGATGTAAGTCATATGAAGCCCAGTGGTATAGCGGATGTGACGGACTACAGAGACAGTCATTGTTGTGTCCTCTTCCTTGGAAATACTACCATTCCAATTAGTTCCTGTTGAGAAAAGAGCCTGAACTGATTGTGGCCTCTCTTGTGAATGAAGTTTTTTTTGGTGGGAGCCGTCCTGCAGCGTGCCACAGAGGTGTTTTGTCACCAGCTGAGGAGCTCTAGACTGTATTTAGGTCAGCAATGGCAAGTACAAAACGGTGTGAGCAGGAAAAAAAAAAAGGATACACATTTGGGTCACTGAGGGCAGTGGGTCTCAAGTGGCTTCTGAGAAATATAGATTTAACAAAATGGAAGGTGCAAAGCACAAGAGAGAAAAATGTACAATCCCAAAGATAATTTGAATTACGGCTAAGTTTTGTTAACCAAATCAAACAGCAAAAATGGCTTTTAGTTGGACTTGGTATACGCTTTAGAATAAAAAAAAATAGATGGTGGAGATTCGTTTTTAGTCATCGACAGTTAAAGCAAAGTGAATGAAGTCATTAATACAGGAAGAGGTTCTATGTGTTAGGCATTAGTTATTACTGAACTAGTGTTTTTAAAAACAGAACAAAGTAGTAGCGTAAGAGGGCATTTTGTGTGAACTGAATGAAAGTGTTCTTCCTCCTTTCACTCGTACGTGTAACACTTACTTGTGCAAGATTTTGTGCCTATTTGATTCAAACTACAGCATCACAGCCTTTGAGACATTATAGTTCCTTGAGAAATATCCTTTGATGTGTAGACGATTAGGATTTTAGTAATTAAAGTTTAAACTTATCTTATGGATTTGGTTCAGGTTCAGTAAGCAAAATCAATTTAATTTAATTGGTGGTCTTTAATGTAATTTGAGAAGAGAATTGAAAAAATATATAGTTTCCCGCAGGGTTTCTGATCTCTGTAGAAGAAAACCTGATTTAGAATGGAAACAGCATTGCAAAAGTTGTTAGTGTGAGTTAGTTTTTTCTTGAGAAAACTGGATCAGTTTGTTGCCATGGATATTGTGTTGCTCGCCACTTCCATTGTTTACTGCTGCACTTGAAGCTTCTTGTGCTCTCCAGTCTCTTTGCGATTAGACTGAACTATTAAAACACATATGTTTACATGGATTTGGGTGGTTTTACCTTTTAAAACCCACTCCTGAGCTAACGTTTTGTGTCCCGCTGCTAATAAAAGCTTTGCTGTGACTTCCTGGACACATGGCAGAGAATGCAGACATGCATTAAGTTGGAAAACATGTAAAGACGATACGTGTAATCGACTGTCACCCTACAAAATCGAATCAAATAAGATTTCAGTACCCTTATTCTAAGTTAGCGAGTAAGCTAGCTCATCTCCGCATTAGCCGGATGGAAACCATATTTACGGCTTTGCCTTTTTCCGTTGAGTGCTTCAGTTTCAGTCACGTCTGGCAAGAGCTGCTTGAAGACGGATGATAATGGCGAGAAGGAAAAAAATTGGCATGCAGCCGCGGGTTAGGAGCCCACCACCACGCCACACGGCTGCCGTCTAGCCCAGGATGCCCGCACACACACACACAAACGCCGGCATCTGTCAGTCCACATTACTGTTAACATGGCTGACATCCAGGCCGCACCGGGGTGTCAGATGGAAATAGCGCGCTCTTTTTATTTATAGCGTGAGCGGCTTTGACGCTGATCGGATGGGGCGGCGCGCGCACGCCGCGGCTCGTGCGCGTCCGCCTCGGTATTTGCGTCGCCTCCAAATCAAAGTTGGGCCCGCATGTCATGTCGCATGAATGTATGCGCCACTTGAGGTCTGGAGGTTGGTTTGTGCCATCCCTGGATGTCCCGGCGCTGAAGACATCAGAAAAAGTATCTGCTGAACAAACCGACTGTTCCGTCTGGTTGCTTTTGAAAACCATGGCGGGACGATCTTTTGTGGTGACATATCATGGAAAACTCTTTTTTTCTTCTAGCTGAGAGAATGCTTTTGGTATATATTAGCATGTGTTCGGTATCTGAAGTCACCGGAAAGGCAGACCTACTGTTCTTCCTTTAGATCTACATCGTCTCAAATGCTAAAACCTCACTTGTTTCATCAAGCTGTTTTAACACTGAATTTAAGACATGAGCCACAAGAAGTGATTGGTTTCAACTCTCAGTGCCTCGACTTCAGGCGAGAGAAATGTAATTATTTGAGAAAGTTCCCTTCGTGGTTCTTTCTTTGTTTTCTTTGAGGCTTTCTAGTTAAATGTTAGCATCGTGTAGCAAATTGCGGCGCTATCATTGCTACATCTATGGTCTTCATTGTGTTTCATCATTTTTTTGCACGTCTCCAAGTATGATTGGCTTCATTCACATTTCAGGCATTGACATAACCAAATGGATACTCAGATTTAGGTGACGGGAAATTCAACACCACCAGGATGTGGATCACGAGCTAAGGTGCAACCAAACCAATGCCTCATTACCCTCCTGTTGTCTTGTTGGTGGAATGTCTAATACATTTTTAACTTTGGATCAAACTCATATACTTCCACAGCTTTGTCATTATTTATAACTCCCCTTTGGGATGACTTGTTTAATGTGGCGATACGGGGCAAAGGCCATTAAGAAATAATGGCTAAACAATTGCAAAGACAAGACGGCGCTATGTGACAAGCAACAAGAGTTTTGAACAAAGCTTGTTTCCTACATCTCAATTAGCCCTCAGAAAATGGGTTTTCTTCAGTTCTGTTGACAATCATTGGTCATTTCTTTCAGTTATCTGATATAGCTCTAAAGATTACAGGAACGTCTGGCTTGGACTTCAAAGACTTTAACGTATCAGTTGGAAGTACAAGTCATTCTATCTGTATTGGACAATAACACGGAATGCGGGGACTGTGTTCATCAGTGATTATGTGATTCAGAAAAAATACCACTAATGTAACAGATTAGATAAGGAGGAAGACATTTATGACCTGGAAGCATCGTCATGGAGGCCTTTATGTGTCCTAGGAACAGAAAGTGCTGTTTTCCACTGCGATACGCTCCACAGGGTACAACGGTGAATTGTCATGTTTGGCTGTTATCTTCGCCATTTTCAGGGTAATATTTCTTATCTCGGCTTTACGTTCATCGAGGGCCAGCGTTTATCGCGCAGAGGGAAAAACACAGTTGGCTTAAGCACTTTAGAACATTTGCATGAGGAGCTCTACAGCAAAAGCAGTGACTTTAAAGGCCTTCCTGGGGAGATTTGGTTTTGATTGGTGTATTATTAAAGCAAAAAACAGGACATAATGAGCAATAGTAGAATTTACATCATACCTCAATCCATTTATTAATATAGCAAATCAATATAATCCGGATGGATAATCACCAGTCTCACTCTAGCTTCACTTTCATTTTAGATTTC